AAGAGTGCTTGGAGTTAGGTCAGACCTAAATTAGACACCTTAGAGTATTAGGAAGAAATGCTGATATCGATCTCCCATGACTGAGCCTTGCTTGAGAGGGGAAAAGCAGGTAAAGCCTGTTTCCTTGGTCACCTCTAGTAAGGGTGTCACGAGTCTGTACAGGTACCGTGGGCTGCGGACAGCATGGTCTTTACATCCTGTCACTGGAGGACGCGTGGGTGGTGTAGCACCAGAAACAGATCTGAGGAGCAGAGACGGACAGTCTCAGTGAAAGGACTCGGGGGTGAAGCTGGAATACAGTGCAGGGGCATTCATAGGGCTTCTCACCTTCGCCATCCGCTGAGAAAGCTCGGTGGGGTTTCAAGCGGTGTGAGCTTTCGGCACGCTGAAGCGCCTGGTGTTCCCTTGCTCTCCTCCTTTACTGGTCTGCAGTAGTTGGCTTGGTGCTGGGAGCATTTAAACAAACATCTCCTGCGTAGGTTGAGCCCCTGTTCCCCTGGTAGGTAAATAGCCTGTGGAGAGCAGAACGGTGCCAGCATGACACTGAGCAGCGTCTTGCACAGCTCTCCCACTGAGGCGAGCGGCGGAGAAGTGCTCGGATCCTACGGATCCTATGGCTGATGCAGAGTGATATCCCGGGAAATTTATGAATAGAGGAAGTAGCCTTTTTCAGAAAATACCATTTCCTAAAGCTGCGGTACTCGTCTGAGAACCTTTCTCATTGTGATCTCTACGACTCCCCATCCCCTGTGGAAAAGTGTGACAGAGAATGTCTGTCACGGGGCGCAATGAGGCAAGATAGCAGCTGAGTGTCTCTGGTGTCCCAGTGGCGTGATTATCTCCCGATGACTACATCCCTGGCATACTCTTAGGGGTTCAATAAACAGGTTTTTATTTTGTTAAGAGAACAGAGAGATTCAGCAGTTTGATGCCGATCAGCACTTCCAGATAAGACATACAGTTCACGTGGATTATAAAACTACTTTGATTGAGGAAGACTGCTGATAAAACTAACAGGTAAATTAATCTTAGTTAACCCGCAGTCCCAGAACAGAGGAGGTGTGGTTAATTATAGCAAAAAGCCTGAAATATCTTCCAAAGTATTGATTGAAACAGCTTGAGAGAAGGCAGCATGCATACTAACACAGCTAAACAAATAAAAGTTCCCTGTTGTTGCATAGATCAACAAGACCAGGCTGAACAGTGGCGCTGACACGGTTATAAACAGCTTCCATGGCCAAGTGGTGCAGCTGTTCTTGCCCCACTGGAAATTAAGGCCAGATGGGATTTATAGAACTTCTCATCTTCACCATCAGCTAAGGAAGTTCAGAGGGAGGTTTCAAGAGGTATAAACATTCAGATTGGCGTGCACGTGTGTGTTTTAGCATAATTCCCTTCTCTAAAACAGTAGGAAGTTTGAGGACGCGGTGAAATGCAGGAGCGCACCTGTTTGGCTCTTTTTTTATGCTATTGCAGCAGCTGACATCCGTGTGGTTAAACTGTGAGGCAGGCTCGAGATCAGCAACAGTTCTTCATGCTTAACAATTTCAGCATCCAAAGTCCAATCTTTCAGTTCTTTGTGTTTCCAGTTAAGGAAAGGCTTACTGTTGCTGACAGCAGAAGAAAGATGCGCTGCCAGTAGTCTAAGTGGCAGTATTTGTGTAGATGTTCCTCCGCGTTTTGGTCGATACAGGCGTGGAAAGGTGCGTGGGTGTTGGCAGCGACTTGCTGACTTGATTTCTCTTATTTCTCATACCCAGCTGGGGCGTTCTGAAAGCCAAGGCCCAGAGCATACGGCGATTGGATGTTGCAGTTTAACATAAGGTTCTCATTTGGTTTTAAATCCCTTCCTGCATCATACAGAGATAAGGACAAAAGTGTCTTCTTCATGGGAGGAACGTCTCTAATTTCCACGTGGTGCTTGTTCCTGTACTGCTGAGAACTCCACCCTGCTTAGCTACAGAGGTCTTCTTGAGCTCTTTCTCCAGACTTCTTAATGTTCACATACACAGACTTTGTAGTCTTTCCAGCTGAATTAGAGGTTTTTGGAACAAGTGGTGGGTACTGAAATAGGGACTTATGGTCCCTGTTCTTACAGTACCTAATTTCCTGGGATGTCTAGTCCGTGGTTTGGGGACATATTCTTTTTTAAGAGGATCAGAATCATGAAGACATAGAGTAATTACCTCAAATCGCGTTGGAAATTTTAAACAAAGGAAGGACTTCAATGTGAATCTTTTTACTCATTGAGCTGATGGATAAAGAATAAATTAGTCTTTATTATATATAAAGACTATATCTATATCTGTTACCTATGAGCTGCTGTAATACTTCACTTGCTGTTCCTAAATATAATTGGTTCATGTTGAGGAAATTGCAATAGATCTCCACTTGTTGTGTGTTCTTTGTTGCAGGAGTCAAATATTTTGAGTCCAATACAGGATGGGACCAAAAAACCCCAGATAGACAGCAACAAAAGCAATAACTACAATATTGTTAAAGAGGTGGGTATATCTGCTAAGAAACTTGCTTGACGTACTTGTTTGATAAGGAGATTTGGTGATTATTTATCTGGTTTTGTGTGATGTGACTGGTTCTTTGCTTGCTTGCAGGCTTATTTATTTGTTTGTTTATTTACAGATTTTGATTCGACTCAGCAAACTTTGTGTTCAGAATAAAAAATGTCGGAGTCAACAGCAGCGACTGCTGAAAAATATGGGCGCCCATCTGGTAGTCTTGGACCTTCTGCAGATACCCTATGAAAAGGTTATTCACATGTTATTAGTGGTAAAGAACATGAACTCCATAAAGGGAAAGGCCTCAAGAGGCCCAAGAATTAATGTGAATGTTTTTTTTTAAACTGAATTCAGTCAACTGTGGTACAAACATGAAATAATGGTGCCATTTTCTACCTTAAGAATAAGAGGTTTGGGTCTCTGTTTAAATATGGCTGCTGGCGTAGAAGAGGTTTTATTAAGAACCTCAAGTCTACTGCCTCAGGTACCTGGATGTCCTTGTGCTATCATCCCTTTCCTGAAACACCAAACCTTAGATCCGCAGGCACTGCACAGTAAGAAGTACCGATGTAATGGAGCTCCTGGCAGGGTATCAGAATTCCACTGTTGGGTTCTGATGTGCGTGCTATTACAGACACATAAGGTGGACAAAAAGCTTTCAAGGATCAAGGCTGAAATAATTTCTTTCTTTTCTGTGGTGGAAGCCTCTAACCTAGTTCCACTTGCAAGTTTTGTTCTGAAGATAATGTGATTTTATACTGATTTAGTGGCACTGAGCATACAAATGAATGATCTAGACGGCCTTTTAAAGAGCACATCTTTCGAGATCTTGTAGGAAGCATTGAAAGGAGACAAAAAATCTGGGCCACAGATATACAGACGCTGGTATAGACACCGGGTTCAGCTGTCTTCAGTAAAACAGTGCTTGTGCCTGTAAGTGGTTGATCAAATCCTAGTTAGAATGCTATATGAGAAGAATATCAAAAGGGGATGAAACCACACATATGTTTGCGTGGGAGTATGTGTATGAACATGTTTATCTGTGTAGGTGTACACACACCTGCACACGTACATCTGTTTCTACATGTAGCTATATAAAAGCCAAAGCTTTGCAAAAGCCTGAAATCAAGGCAGGCCAGAGAACTTTTTTTGGAAAATCAAGCCACTTAGCACTTTTAAACTGGGAAATTACAATCCTACATGAGGAAATTTTACTCTTAGTTTGTGCTCTTACCTGTGACTCCCCCTGGTTATGGATTTAGAGTAAGGTGCAGCCACTAATGGACTCTGAGGGACTGGATCAGTTGCTTTTGCCAGAGGGAGAATTCCTGCCCTATAAAGGCTGAGGAGAATTGGTTTGTTCCTGGCTGAATTCACATTGTGCGGTTTGAACAAGTGTGTTTAGGTACTCCCTGCTGATTTAGTTTGTCTTTTCTTTCTGCAGAGCGATGAGAAGATGAATGAAGTTATGAATCTAGCCCACACTTTTCTTCAGAATTTCTGTCGAGGAAATCCTCAGAATCAAGTTCTCCTCCACAAAAATCTCAACTTGTTCTTAACTCCAGGGGTAAGAATTTCATTTTAAGGAGAATGTTATAACTGGAAGTAAATCTGGACTTGCTGAAAAATTACAGTGCTAAATAAATAATTAAATTATGCCCTCTCTGCCTTCTCTTCTCTCTCCTGTCTTTTCTCCCTTATCATTGCTCTTTATATCATTGTTTTCAATGCTGCCATTTTCAAAGTGGAAAACAGTATTACCTGTGGGGTTTACTGGAAGTATCTATGCACATGTGCCACATCATCACGTTGTGTTTAGCTGGCCTCTGATCTTACTCATCCTAACTCACTCACAGGTGGACTGTAAGTCAAGGCAGAAGATGCTCTGACTGTGCTGTCACGAAGCTTGTGTGACAGTAGAATCAGACCCATACGTTTTTGTTGATGATGCTTCCACTTGATTCAACTCATTTAAAATCTGATCTTTTATTAAATCATTGTCTTTACAATAAACCTCTGTGTCACGGTCCCTTTGTGTATATATGTATGTGCGTGTTTACAGATACAGTCAGTAGAATGACACCTTGCTCGGTGGCAGATGTGCTGAGCAAAACATGCTTTCATTAGGAAGGAGTGTATTAGGATTGTAGCCTGGCCTGCGTACATGAGGAAGCGTTTGTTCTGTTAGTTTTTATTTACGCTTTTTTGGTGAAGTTAGTGGAAGGCGCTGAGCTGACCACAGCTGGGACTGGTGCTCGGACTCCATCCTATCCAACACTGGCCCTTAATTCAGGTGCCAAGCATGAAGCCTGCTTGTACTTGCACTTCTGTTCTTTTGAAATCGATCTTCTGATCATCCCAGTTATTGTGCTTTTATTCATGTTCTGGAGTGAACTTGGTGTGGATTTCTTTCAGGTGACACTAAACAGAAAGGTATATGCTAGAGCACACCTGACCCTCTTGACCCTTTAGTCCAAGGGTCCAAACCAGAGAAAGTTTGAAGCAAAAGCCCCAGGGATGCATAAAGTCTGGATGCTGAGTCCTCAGCAGCATCCGTTTCTTGCTGTAGACCTGTTCCTCCCGTACCGTGCCTTCTCACTGATAGAAACGTAGCCCTAGGCTCTCTCTGTAGTTCATGTGGAAGGAGATGTTCTCCCAGTGATCGGATGGCACACACACCGATTTGCCTGCTGGAAATGCCTGCCTCTGTAGCCTTATTTGGTTGCCTCACCTTATCTGGTTGCCTTAATCACCTCATTTGGTTGCCTCTGTGCAAAGTTTGATGGTGAGTGGGATGAACGTGGTCTCAGTTTTCTCGTACGCCAGAGCCCCTGTAGAGTGCTCTAGTGTGTGCACGTGTGTGGCTTCCCCTTCCATACGTGCACAGATTTTGTTTATGGCCACTTTAGGACCATTTTGAACTCATAGGAAAGCGTGGAAAAATCCCACCAGGGACTGTGATCACTGCTTAATCACTGGGCTTGTTGGTGCACATTGGACTTTTCCAGTTCCCCTTTATCAGTGTGCCTCTCTACTCTAGAGCCCAGTGAATCTTTCAACCTCAAACCAAATCTGCTCTTCTTATAAGGCTGTTTCACTTGAATCTCTTTAGCTCCTGGAAGCTGAAACCATGCGGCACATCTTCATGAATAACTACCTTCTGTGTAATGAAATTAGTGAGAGAGTGGTGCAGCACTTTGTACACTGCATTGAGACCCATGGCCGCCACGTGGAATACCTGCGTTTCCTGCAGACCATTGTGAAAGCAGATGGCAAATACGTGAAAAAATGCCAGGACATGGTAATGACAGAGGTGAGCAAAGGGTTCATATGCTAATCACTCGCCTGATGTCTTTTGAACACACCAGTCTTCTGAGGGTGCTTTTTCTGCTCTAGATACCAATGGGATATAATGGCATCATTGCTTTAGAATTTAAAACAGTATTGCAAATAATGAATATTTTAGCAGACGTTTTAGGGAGCTTAATCTAATTTTGTAAGGCCATCTGTATAACTACTAGGAAGAAAACATGAGTGTTAGCATGGTGATACAGAGATGTCTATTTGTAGATGATGTAGCATGGAAATCTGAGTTACATAAACCTTCATTTTCCTGTACTGTGATTTAGGATCCCATTTACGCACCAAACTTGCCATATTGTGGCATGGTTTTGCCACATAAGGGTCTCTTACCTCTATGGATTTGTCTAAATAGTGTTGTACACCATTTTTTTTAGCACGTAACCATACTTTTGTTTCTTTTGTCGCAGAGTGTTTCTGTGAGAGTCAGTAGAGCTACTCGAGCTTTAACGAGCTCGATGCAGAGTCTGACCCAGTAAATTCCACAGAGTGGTTTGTGGACAAATCTCAATGCCAATAAAGTTACTAGGAAAACACCTGATCGACTTCTTTGCAATTAGGGGTTGATATATAGTGTGTGTGATAAATGAAGTCTTCAACTTGCAGACACTCGTGCGTTTAACTGTAATTATGTTAACAGTTCAGTGAGATTAATAAGTGAGTAAAGTTGGGTACCGTGAAAAGTCCAGGTAGGATCAGAGTCCAAGGAACATTTTTCTTTACAAAGTGCAATTTTTTTTTTTTTTAAAAAGACATCTTCACAAAGGAAACTGAGATAAGCTCTAGTTCTGCTATGAACAAAACTAAACCCTGCTGAAATTTTTGTTCCACAGCAAAAAAAGAAAAAACTTCTAATTAAGAAAATAAAACTTCAGCCTACATCGATAACCTTTAATGGAATCTACCTCAACCTTTTCAGGCTGACTGAAATGTTTTAACATGCAACGTCAGTTACAAGCCTTTGACTTACATAATTCAAACAGTTCTTGTGCTTTTGTGCTTTTAGATTTTTTCCCTTTTCGCAACAGCTTCTTGTAGGTTTTTGCTTTTTAGATTTTTCTCCATTCAAATACATTTCGTTACTGACCTATAATAGCACAAAGATAAATTGTCACACTGCATTTTCGAGCTGACTGCTGGATGAAAATCAAGATGAACTCGGCTGTGACATTTACAGCAAGAGTCCTGCAGGAGTGTGCTGGGGGGAGGGAGCACCCCTATTTTGATGAAAGAGGGTAAGATGATGATCCTTTTTAAAAAAACATAGGAAATTACAGGTAAGTATTTATGATTTGTTGGAAAAGGATGCTTGTGGTGAATACTGAATGGCAGCCCAATATAAAGGGAACAGTGTAGCCAAATGACAGGAACTTGCCATGGGGTCAGGACAGTTTCTCAGTAGACAACCAAGATGTACTCCGAGTGGTGTTACTTTTTTTGTGCCTCCAGACTGGGCATGGAAACAATTTACCACAAGACAAGACCGAGTATGAGTGTACAGCATGCCACAGCTACTCCTCTGTTTTCTTTTACCCACGGAAAGTATATGGTAGCTTATTCCTGTTTACTGGGAGTAAACTGATCATCTTCACATGTTTTAGAAAGTGCAAACAGATGAAGGAGCACCATTGCCAAAGACTACTTTCATGAGATACGTTCCCCATCTGGCTTACTCGGTTGTTCTCCTATCCTTGGTCACCATGTCTGTAGGGTGCTAGCAGGGATCTTTACTGACCTGAAACGTTCCTTAGGGCACGTTTTCTCATTACAAGCATGCTTTGAGGTTCCTGGAAGAACAGTGTGTCTCATTGCAAACATTATCACAAAAGGGAAGGTGGAATTTACTTTTGAACCAGATCGATGTGGTAGCAGAATTTTCCGTCACCGATAGTGTTCTGGAGTGATACATCACCGAGCGTCAAGAGCTGCTTCAGTACTGACCAACCTTCGTTATACTTCCATAGAGTTCTTAACTCATTCACAATATGCTCTAATGGAAGGAGATGCTGCTGTGTGGTGGGTTTTCCCCTCCCCATCACTGAGCTCATGATGCTCAATGAGAACTTTGCCTAACACTGATTATTTCTCTTCCCTTTCTGCTTTTAAAGGGAGAACATTCTCTCTGCTTGGGTCAGTGTTTGGATGCCCTTCACAAATCACATTTAAAAGTGGGTAACTTAGGGAAAGGGCATGACAGCTTCTTCTGCTCTTGCATTTACAATGATTACCTTGGCCTCTTCAGCTCTTCTTGTGCTGATGCAACATTGTCTGCGTCGGTTTGTGGTTCCTCACAGTCAGCGTGTAGCAAGCGTGCCCTGCCAGCATCACGTTTCACAAGCTCGCTATCTCCTGATATTTCTTCCTCATTTGTCAGTGATAGGTACTTGAAAGGATAAGGAGTCAGTCTGACTAGATGTGATAAAATATCAAGCAATACTGGTACAGACCAGATTAGGTCTGGATTTGACAGGAGTGTAACTCCAGGGGAACCTGGAAAGAGTCGTCTTCCCTCTCCTCTGCGCAAAATGTTCACCAGTGGAAAATAACTATGGGAACGTGGTGAACAGCTTAATAGAAAGTGACAGAGCATGTACCTCCCCAGAGGGCTCGGTGTGGATTTTTTGTATTATTTTGTATGCGAAATGTTCTAAGAGCATAGTACTCCAGACATCAGTATTAAAAAGTTAGGTCAATTTTCCAACATTTTGTAAACTTACATTTCCCCTTGCCTTTTTTTTTTTTATTTTCTTTCATTGAGTGCAATGACATTAATGGTATCTGGGTCGCTGTATTATCTCCTTTCTCCTTCCCAGGCACTTGTCCCTTTAAAAACTTTGTTTCTGTACTGTGGATTGTAACAGAAAATGTCTATTTTGAAAAGTCAGGCATAGAAACATTTTAGAAACCCAAAGATAAAATGAGAAATGGGAATTGCAGGAAAGACTGAATTCACGTTTCACTCTATCCAATCGTCAAAGTAAGACTAAGCAAGAAAAAGGGAAAACACAAGTTGTAAATTCAAAATCTGAAATGTTGAAACCCTGGAAAATGTAATGAAACGTTTCTTGCCTTTTCATTCTGAGACTAATTTTCATTCCTCTTCTTGTCACTTTCCCATTTCTCAACAACTCCACACAACCTGCCCTCCACACAACTTCTGCCCTTGAAGTCAGTCAGAATTTCATGTCACGTACAGACTTGGATGTGTCGAGTCCCTTCTTCACAAAATACGTACAGCTGTCGTGCCGCCGAGGTGCGTTCTGTACTAGAAAGGGTTTGTGGGAGCTTATTTTCACCCACGCTGAGAGTGTATTATGCTTAGAAGGAGAGTGATGGAGAGAAGAGAGGACTGCTGTCCTGCCCCAGCTCCACCCGAGCTTGCGGAGCAGCGCTGGCAGTAGCTATATTCAGTGTAAGGGAGGTCAAAACAGGGTTAGAGCAAAACTTTTCTGTGATGTCTGCTGAGACGGGGCTGCCAGCATCCACCTCCGCTCTGGATCCTCTTGAGATGAGCAATGCATTTGTAGCAAAATGAAGTATTTATCGCATACCCCAGTTTTCTGTTAAATGGAAGTGCTGGCACGACACTGACGATGTCAAGACGCACCTGCCAAATTTGCATAGGTTGGGAGGAATCATCCTTTTTTTCTGATACTGAGCAAGGGCACGGAAGAGGCCAGTTAAATTCTGGGTGAGCCACAGGCTTTTTTAAGTGAGGTAGCAAGGAAGATTTAATCTCTCTTCACCTCAAGTCCCTATCTAAAAAAACAGGGATAACATGCATCCTGGCCGCACAGTAGGAGGTGAGGGTAATTAATTAACTTCGGACAAACGTTGAGATGGTAGGGATAATAAGGATGGCATACTGAGGTAAACACAGAGCGACAGTGAAATTAATCTTCAAATTCACCTGGCGTTAGCTCACTCCTTGGTGAGTTATTCCAGATTTGCAGCTATGAAGACAAGAGCAGCAGTTGGCCTCGGATATGGTTTTGACATGTGCGTTTGGTAAGCCACATCAGAGTAATTTTTGATCTTTTAAATCTATTTATTTATTTATTTTAGCTAGGCGCTCTTTGCATACTTAATTTCTTATTTTGTTCTACCTTTAAGAAAACCCCAGCATCATTTAGGTTGGAGAAGACCTTTAAGGTCACTGTGTCCAAGGTACCTGCAGCGCAGGGTGCTTAAAACTCTGCGATAACTTTTTCAGCTGATCAATGGCGGTGAGGATGTGTTGATATTCTACAACGACAGAGCATCGTTTCCAGTCCTGCTGCAGATGATGTGTTCGGAGCGAGACCGAGCAGACGAGAGCGGGCCCTTAGCGTATCACATCACTCTGGTGGAGCTGCTAGCAGCTTGTACGGAAGGAAAGAATGTGTACACGGAGATCAAGTGCAATTCCCTCCTGCCGCTGGATGATATAGTGAGAGTAGTGACCCACGATGACTGCATTCCTGAGGTAAGGTTCACTGAGTGAGGAAGCAGACTTAGGATTTTTAGAAACTCGTTTTGGTGTTTAGAATATACTGACAAGTTGAATATTTGCACAGAAACCAGGCTGGAAACAGGTGGGATTTGTTAAGGTGAGTGAGTGAGAAAGGACAGCCAGTCTTTTCTTAAGCAGAAAATTCCTGGTCCCTTAGGCTTCCATTGTCAGTTTTTTGGGGCAGACACCTTTTTTTGTTTTTTTTTGGTTTGTCCAGCCGCTATAGAAGTTTAATGCTCTGATAAATTCTGGCTGTAGCTGCTAAGACTCAGCTGAGTGCTTTGTCAAGCCAGCGTTTTGCTGCTGCCTGAATTTGTTGGAAACGATGGGTAACATTCTGGCCACGCTGAAGTCAGCGGGAGTTGGAAGTCTCATTTTATTAAATTCAGTTGCAGTCCAGCAAATGTTTTTATTCGCTGCATATTGAGGCAGTTCTGCAGCCACGGCCGGTCGTGCTGCAGTAGGACTGTGATGCCTCATGCTGATCAGAAGGGAAATGTTTGTTTGCACCAAACCTGACGTGATCAAAAGAAACCTTTTCACAGTCTTTGCAAGGAGCTTGCTCTGGCCCCATGTATCGCTTGGATGGATTTCTGCAGGCTATCTGGTGGAAAAATGTGGCTCTTATCAACAGAACTGGGACCTGCGGGAGTAAATACTCCCTCTGTACCGTGAAAAAGTCCCCTTGCAATTGACTGATTCTTTTCTTAAAAAGAAATGTGTTTGCTTTGCTCAAAATTTCTTCCTAACACTAATTTCAACAGATGCTAATTTTAAAAAAGCCTAAACAAATGAAACCTGTAAGTCTGACATGAGTTTTCTGCCGACTGCATTAAACATATACAACTACCTCCTCTCCTTTGACGGTGACAAGGCATTTTCAGTGTACCTGCATATGTTTATATTTAACCTATACATTTCAGACACCAGATATCCGTTGGTATGATGTGCACATCATAAAACTTGTGACTTGCAGTTCGGGAGGGGAGTGAGACTGCAGCCCTCCTGTTAAGCCCTGTGCTGCTGTGGCTGCGATCCCGGCGCGGCACAACCATTCTCTTCCATTTAGCTCCCAGTTGCGCCCACCCCGAATGCAAGCGCTGCATTATGATGGTGGGAATATAGGGACTGCATGCAGTCCCAGCTCTGCTAAAGACATTTTTACTTTAATATTTGGCATGCCTGTCACAAGGCATCAACCCACAGCAGTCCACTGGCACGTGGAGGGGCGTCCTGCATTTTGGCAGCTCCTGGCTTTGGAGTCTTAATATCATTTAAGTATTAGGTTTGTTATTGGTTTGGGTTTTTGTGTGTGTGTGTGGGTGGGTGAGTTCTCGTTAGAGTAAGAACACTTGCAAGACCTTTCTGTTTTTCCTCATGTGATCTTTCAGTAAGTACATTAAGGCATTTGTTGCCCTGCTTCTCCTTAACCCTTCAGAACGGAACGTACGCGTTATTACTGTGTTTGTTAGTACTTGAAGGATCGTCTTTACTCTTCAGTATTTTCCAGATAGAAAATGGCATGTTCATGTTATTTTTTACTGTTCCATTCCCTATTGTCTGTGTTTTTTGCTGTTCCCACAGGTGAAAATTGCCTACGTTAATTTTGTTAACCACTGTTACGTGGACACTGAAGTGGAAATGAAAGAAATCTATGCCAGTAACCATATCTGGAAGTTGTTTGAGAACTTCCTTGTTGATATGGCGAGGGTAAGCTTCATGAGAAGTTAAATATTACAGTATAGTCATGGGGGACAACTGAACTGGCAATGAGTTTTTTTGGTGAACTCCTCCTTTTAACTATTTTTTTCAAAGTTGATGATAGAATAGGTGTGTGGTTTTGGTGTTGTTTTTTTTTTTTTTAAACAAGCAGTCATTTCTGTGTTATTTATCATCACTTAACCTACTAATTACTAGCAGTCTTTTTCTGAAAGGGCATCTTAGAACCCATGTTCCTTTATCTTTTCTTCCATAAAAATAAATTGGATGCACGTACAGGGTCAAGACTCTGTGTACATCTTCTGGGAGCATGTGTCATTAGGGTGGTGACTAAAAAAATAACCCCACATCTGTGATCTTCTTGCTTTACTCTGTTAGTACAGTGAGGATCAGGGATCAAGAAGTTCTTTAGCTCATGTTCCTTCTTTAATCTCATTTGGGCCTGTTTTTGTCTTTTATTCTACCGTCACTACATTCTCACCAGTGATGTGAAAGGCAGGTGTAGAGCTATGGCCTTTCAGATTATTCATTCTTATATAAAATGTAGGTTGCAAGGTGATGGGGCACAGTTAGTACTGTGGGCATTCAATTCCTGTGGACCCTAGTGAGCTTCGTGGTGTCATTACTTGTTGAATTAAGTTTCAACTCAGAAGTTGAATTAAGTGTCCATTCCCTGGTATTTTGGAGGCAGAAGATGAGGGAAATCCTTATGACATCCTGAAGGATAAAATACAATAGTAGAGCCATGAGGGGTGTCTAGTGGGACATAATGATTACAGCTTACATTAACCTCCTAGAAAAGGATATGTAATGCTTCTTGTAAGATCTTAATACCAACTAATGGAGTTGCTTTTTCCACTCAAGAAGTAGAACGACATGGCTTTGTTGGCTGGTGGACTGTATTTGGTCCTTGATGCTGGACAGTATTTTGGAGATGTTGTAGAGCATGTTGTTATAGTGCAGGCCTATCTTTTCCCACTCCCCAGTCCGTGACATTTTATAATCCTTAAGTTCTCACTCCTTGCGCTCTTCATTTTGTTGAAATGAAGAAAAAAAGAATGGTAAAAGAATCCAAATTCAATCCTGCAGCGGACATTTACCCCAAAGTAATAGTGCGCCACAAAATAATTTCTTTGAGACCTACTGGGAGAAAATACCATGAATTATGACCAAAAGAAGAATGAGTACAAGGACTTGTGCTGTATGATAGGCACTGGGACCTGTTCTTTTCTCCGTGAACCAGAAAACTTCTAATGGTTGGGTTTTTTAATTTTTCTTTTTTTTTCCCCTGGGAACAGGTTAAGACAGAGATGCTTGTGCTCTCTGTTTTTGGATGGTAGCCATTTTCAGCAGTAATGAGATCTCTACAAACCCTCTTTTCCTGCTGTTTGTCTGGTCTCTGTGGTCATGTTCTACAGTGAAAGCCCTTCTGGACAAACCAAGCTCGTTTAAAAATTAAGATCAGAAACCTCCTTGGAGGAGAATTCTGATTTTTAACCTTGCTGCTTTTACCCCATGAAGTATTTTCTCCTGTTTAATTCCATTTCTGCATTGCCCTTTCCTGACGTGTCCTGGCCCTGACCCTCCAAACAGGAACATGACCAATTTTCTTTGCCCTTGGGCTAGAAGCAGGGATGTGGAAAGAGGGTTGTGTCCACAGTTCCCTTCATGAGCCTGGAGACAAACCGTGCTGTGCCAAATGATGTGGAGTTGTCCTGATGCTAGTGACCACTGAGCTTGTTTTCACATACCCTTCTCATAAGAGAAATTAGACTCCAGGTCTTCAGAGGTGAAGAGTGAGCGTATTATTAACGCTGCATTGTGTGTGTGTGTGCGCTGCTGGCACTGAATGGCAAAATGCAGGTTTAGTTTGCTCTCCTGCAAAGCCCTCAGGGCAGGTGCCTAATTAGTCCTTTAAATTTCCTTGTTAATGGCTAAAAGAGCATGTCAGAATTGCTCTGGCCTGCCCTGCTCTTCAGCCAGGTCCCTGTGGGTAGCCGTATCTTTCAGGTTATTGAGCGTATTTGTTCAGCTTTGGTTTTCGGAGGCCCAGGCAGAGCCCGTCTGTTATAAATACATCAGCGTTATGTAGCTATCGGGATAGTTAGAACGCCGTCAGCCGGGTGAAAGATGTTACAATAGCTTTCACAGCATTTAGAAAAAGAGCCCTTTGATCCTCTGTGTTCCAGTGAGCTAAAAGGGATGATTTTGCGTGGGGGGAAGGGGAAATGCTTTCCTTTTAGCAGTTACGAATGCCTGTCAGTGGGTGAGTTTGTGAGCTTTGGGTCTGTTATTAGAGAACGCTACGGTGAATGATGGAAAGTGTTATCCTCAGGTTGGATTCCTTCCCTTTTTATTTACAAAAAAAAACCAAAACAGTTTTTAAAAATCTGTTTCTGGATTGAGGAAGGGGGACTATTTAGTCTCCAACTGTCATTCTCTTTCACCAACGTGATGCATCGCAGAGCAGGCACGAGGCGGATTCCTGCGTAAATTCAGTTTGCCAGAAGCAGTCGCGCGTTCAAAGACACCCTCCTTCTACAGCCCCTGCCAACCTACTTTCTCCCGCCGACGACTTAAAGCGTCTCAGTAAGCGAAGCGGGTGCCGCTGAAGGAAAGGCTTCCCGTTCCTGCGTGTGGCCCAGCCTGTAAGTCAGCGGCTGGAGTCTGAGCAGGATTAAAGGAAGAACCAGGATCTGACAGCCGGAAAGTCATCCTGGCTTTCTCTGCAGAATTTCTGAAGTATTATTCGTGTGAGTTCTGGTCCCAAAGCCTCTTAGGGGGTTTCTAAACACTGCTTTCTCAATCCTCATCTCCATTTCATGCGTTTCAGGGGTTTTTCTTCCATGGGAAGCATCCTTCAATCCCCAAAGGGTAGAGAGGTAAGAACAAATGAGAGGATTGCCGAATTCCTTCTGCACTGGGAATTTTTCAGACCGGTGTTGGAGCAGAGTGACGTCCCCATGTATGGCTCCGCATTTTAGGGCAGCCAAGGGTAAAGCTTACAAGCGTTTTGGAATTTGGCTTTGGCGATTGCTGAATTCGCCATGCTAGCACGGCACAGCTCCCTCTCTTCCCACTGGGATTGCAAGTGCTGAGCCTCAGAGCTACTGGTTCCAGCCAAAACTGGCATGCAGATTAACGAAGAGCAGAGGAACTTCAAGAGGTTTTTAGTTCTAAGATTTTTTTTTCTTCCTTAAGAAATTTTGATTATTAACTGAATCTGTTACCTCCATGAGGACTGAGGGTGGTGTCATACTTGTCCCAAAACTGAAGGGCTGAAGAGCTGGCTATTTCAGTTTAGATGCTTGCTTCTCTGACCGAAATCTTTCCTTTCCTGGGGTGATAAAGAATGCACTACGTGGGGGCATGACTTGTTTATCTGACACATTCTAGAGAAGCAGGCAAGCAGAGCTCCTCACGATGCCTCATTTCTGTAGGTCTCAAGTTATCTTTGGTTATTCCTCTGCCGACGGTATGGCAATGCTGCTGTGTTGTATTCAAAATGCTTTTGTGTTCCCCTGGGCTGCATCTTCCCCTGAACGGGGGTGCTGTTGATGTCACATCAGTAACCCGCCCTTAAAACACTCCGGGTGACAGCACTGTCTTGTCGCGTCCAAGCGTGACAGCGGCAGCGTCTGATCCGAGCACACGTTTGCCCCGTGGGAGGTTCGGGTGCTGTGGTTTTGTCTTTCTGCTTCTGTCACCAACTTTTCTCTGTGACCTTAAGCAATTTGCTCAGCTTCTCCGGACTTCAGTCCCCATCCATAAAACTATGTAAGTACGTATGACGCAGCTTCGTGACCATGGGTTACATGCTCAGACAGTAATGAGAGGGCTACCCCAGAAGTCTATATACATAATAAATCCTGCTTTCCCATTGATTCCCTAGAACATCACGGTAGCCTGTGGCTTGTACAGATGAAAGAGAACAGCTTTGCCTTTAATTTCTTGTTAAATACGACTAAAACTGCTTATTTAAAGGCTGTTGAAGAGGTAGTATGACTATAATCTGTACACCTCATTTGTCCAGTCTTGCCTTTCTCCCTGTGTTTGGCTCTCTCTAGGCTCCTTTTAGTACTGTTTACGTGGACATAAGCAAAGTCAACACGAGACTGTGTAGATGTTCACAAATGTTGAAAAGAAACAAAGAAATACTGAAGGATGCAATCCACCCCAGTCATTTTTTTTCCCTTTCTTTAAGCATGACATCTTTATGCAGCAACAAACTTTTAGTGTCGTACCAAAGGGTGTCTTCAGAAATCTTTTGTACAAATCTTCCCACATCCTCCCAGCATTTAATCATCCTTCTGAGCTCCAGAGTTGTCCCAGTACCATCCATTCTCTTCTTTCATTGTTTTTAGCTTGCCTTTTGTATTTTGCCCACGTGGCTTTCCTATTTAATGCTGCCTGTCTTAGTGTCCACAATCCTAAAGGCTGTTGGCATTGACTAAGCTATTTCCCTCCCTCCCTCTTTTTTTAACATTTTTCCTACAAATGAGCTTCACCTTCGCCACCCGTTTGTGGTGATTGATCATAGAGAGAAGTTAAGCGTTCCATGAAATCTTTCTCACCCGAGGTATTTATGTCTTATCTGTCTCTAAAGCCTCTTCCAACCAGCCCCACAATGGGAGGAAAGCCCCATTTTCTTCTTCAGTCTGTCTAAATGTGTAAGTGGCGTGCAATGTGCTGATTTAGGGGGGGGTCTTTTTTCATGGTGTGGGAAAGAATAGACAGCCAACCAGGAAGAGCTAGTTCAGAAGAGAAGGGTATTCGGAAGATAATGTGGACCTCCAGGAAGGAAGATAAGCCATCACAGATGCAGTTTGAACTCTGAGATAGCGCGCTCTGATAGATTTTGTATCAAAATAAATTGGTTTTGTATTAAGAAGAAATGTTACGTGTCTTGTAATAAATACAACATAATAAAGCTTGCTTATTTAAAAGAACTAAATCTCATTCTTTCCTCCTCCTTCCCCGTAGGTTTGTAACACCACCACGGATCGCAAACACGCAGACACATCTCTGGAGAAATATGTCACGGAGCCCGTAATGAACATCGTGAGTGGCTTCTTCAATTCGCCATTTTCAGATAACAGCACCAGCCTCCAGGTAAGGAAAAGAGACACAGACAAATATGTAATTCAGGCCATTAATGAGATACCTTCTGCTACTCAGACAGGAATGCTGTACCTTTATATCCTCCTTTAATTTCTGTCCCCTCTCATGCCACTGCCTAGCAGCTTAATCCCTCTTTAGAACACTTTTATTTTTTATCACTTACAGGTCTGAACCAGTAGACAACTTAGTAGAGTTGGATTTACTCCTGGCTCTTGTGAATTCAGTGGGAGGGTGGGGGTGGGGGTGTGTATCCTTGCAGAATAATGGTCTGTCTTTGTATTTGTATGGGAAAATGCTGTGTCCTATGACAAAAGGATGACATACCTGAGAACTGGGAAGACTCCTCCGTTCTGCTCTGAACTGTGTTTGCTTGATATCAGTGGTGATCTTAGGAACTATTGCATGATTTGGCCTTTTTAGAGGTGCAGGACTGATTTCTCTTTCTTCCAGTCCTGAAGAGCAAACAGAATTTAATGGAGTTGAAACTTGAGTCTGCAGGCTAAACCCCTTGCTACGTGGCTTATGTTGTGTCAAACCCTAGGGCAGCAGTGAGGAGATTTTAAAGGGTAACATTCCCACTTTATCTTTTTGTTTTCAGACACACCAGCCTGTTTTTATTCAGCTGCTGCAGTCTGCTTTTAGAATTTACAACTGTACCTGGCCAAACCCAACGCAGAAAGCCTCAGTGGAGTCATGTATCAAGACTTTGGCTGAAGTGGGTAGGTGACAGGTTTTACTTTCATTATTATTCTCTGTGTTTGAAGATCAGACTTGCTTGAAGTTGAACAGGTTTTAATTTCAGTCGGCCATCCTGAAATTGTGACAGTGATAATTTCAGAAATCCCACTCTCTGAGGCTAAAGTCCTCTTCTTATAGTCCATTCAAATCTATCCCTTCAAATAGGGCTGTTAGATGAAATCTGTAGGTTAGAGAGATTAATTTGCTAAGTAAACGATGGTTGAAGTTAGGATATTAATGATATTATGATATCATTATGATAATAATGAAGCAAGTTATGCTGTTACAACACAACATAAGCTGTGAGAAAACCTGGACATTTCCAGTTGTGCTGGGCTACATTTTCACAAGCTGTTGTAAGCAGCGGTGCGTCACAATTGCACGTCGGAGAACACCCATCATTTCTTCCCCTCAGTACCTGGGGACGCATTCGTTATTGCCAGTCACGGTCCTGGGCTTGTTCAGGTTTTGTCCCATCAGCGAGCTGGGGATGGAGACCACAGTTGTGCCACTCCCTAGCTTCTCTGCTTACTCCTCCCCCTCACACCCACTCATTTACTGCTGTTACACAGTCAGCCTTATCCGGGGAACATTGCCTTGCACTGGCACCGAGACCAAATCTGGTCCTCAGGGCAGCCTTACATGTTACATGCCTTCAAATAAATTCAAATGCTGTGGTAAAATTGAAGATTTAAAACTCCTTATCCTAAAATAAAAAAGATTCTTTACCAGTACATAGCTAAGACTGGCAAAAGTTCGTTCTGAAGTTAAATTTCTGTGAATAAAATTTCAAAGTCCATGACAGAAAAAAGGATTATTCAATATAGTCTCTAAAAGTCAATCTTCCTGATTACTTGTAGAAAAGGGTTCTGCTGAGTGGGAATGAAAACTGAATAGAGGCAGAGATGTATGGAAACTGGGAAAATACTCTTCTTGATGCAACTTGTAAAATGTTTTAATAAATAATGCTAAAACAATATGAGAGGGTCCCTTAACCATCTGCAGCATCTGTGGCATTGTAAGAATCGACTCTATATTTACAATTTGGCGTAGCTTTACAGGAGTATCATTTACTATTTTAGCCAAAACATTAACTTTTGTGTGAATGAGAATAAGCAGTTACCTAAAAACTTAGCAACCTTCTACTGTTGTATTTGCTGCGCAAATGATTTAATTACGGATCCATCTGGCAAGAGAACGTTGGAAGTTGAAGACATTTTATTTCCTTCATGCTACAGCTACTGTAAAAAATAAAGCTCTAGCCCTACAAATCTTTGTTTGTGTGTTTAACACGTCTCTGCTCTTCTCTGGCAGTTCTGGAAAGAGTCATCAGTAAATTACTTCCTTTGGGAGCCTTGGGAAAGAGGGATGAACTAGGGCAGGTGAGAACATTTTTGAGACACTGAGTGTGCCCTGTGTGTGCTTCTAGACACCTCGGTGTCTTCATTTCTGTACAGCTAAAATCAAATCGTAGCTCAGAGGTCGCCATGTTCTCTCACCGAGATGGCGGTATCTGGAGACACTTCAGCATGGAGCCGAGACGGCCAAGCTGATCTTGTCCCTGCAGCAGCCTGACAGGGGAAGCATGGGTCACCTTAATGGGGCTGATAGGTCCAGCTTCTCGGCCCCGTGCACCAGCACGTGGTGGGGCTGGTGTCTCTGGGAGGTAATCTGTGTGCCTCTGGTTCCTGGGGGAGCCAAGGGGAAGGCCTGAATGCCAGGCACGGCTGGTGTCTGCCGTTTCTTCAGCTACGTGACTCGGTTCCCTATTTGGGGAATTTAATTTCTACCTCCGCTGTAGTCTTCTCTTTGGTTTCATTCCTTTTTGTGGTTTATGGAGTTGGCTTACAGTTGGGGTTTTTTATAAGTATGCTCTTGTGCTGTCCTGTGGGTCCAACCTTCTCGCTCATGTGGCTTCCTCCCGATGGGAGCCCGGCCGTGCCCCGGGGACTCTCAGGCACGGCAGAGTGGAGCTGAGCTGCCGGTGAATGGCATCGCCCCGTGCCGTCCCTTGGAATCTCTGTGCCACTTGCAGTGGCCGCAGGGCAGGGAGGCCAGGCCTTGCCTCGGGGTGTCGTGGGCCTGGCAGCCTCAAAGCTGCCACGTTAGCATGCCCAGCGCGGAGTTCCGTGTCCCTGGCACAATAACTCTTTAAGGTTCATCACTAATACTGATATCAAGCATGGCCAATTTGGATTGTGTTGTGTTAGCAAATGGCCACACATTTCCTCCACACTAAG